ACTCATTGCTGCAGATTCTGAGTGCGCGCAGGATAAAGCCTATAATTACACCACTTTTAGTTTTGGTGTCGTAGTGAGAATAGAAGTGGAGAAGATCGTGTTGGTTGGCAGGTTTTCGAAAGACTTTAAAACGAAGTTCATGGTTAGCTTTGCAGATAACATCAACCTGACTTCATCCTATAAATACGCGCTTTCCACCCAGCTATATCTGTTTGTGACTTGATAAAGCCCAGTGTGGTCGAAATGTTGTCAATAAAGGATCACATTATACTTCATTTGTGCTTATATTTCCATTGTGTTGGTATTTTATACCATTTATTTCCACTCTGTCTTGTGTACCCGGCCCAAGCTCTGTGGTTTTGCACGCCAAACCCTAGGTTTGCCATTGACAGCACTATACCAGCCTCAATGGAGCTGGGTTAATGTCAGTGTTGCCATGACAACCGCTGTTTGCCCCACGCACAGTCTGCCAACATTTGTCATCTCCACCTGCTTTTAGCACATTCCTGTGTACTTGAGGTATGAATACATTGTATTATGTACACGGAGATAATGGGTGAAGAATCAAGTTGTTGTCAAGCCAGATCTTTGCTTGGTGACATCAGTAGTTAATGAAAAGACCTGAGGGTTGTAGAAAAATTGTAAGAGTTTGAAATTTCCATTCCCTGGACAATTTCAAGAGATGTGGTAAGATCCAAATGGTCAGAAACTAGCAATGCTAGTCGACGTAGCTAAGAGACTAGGTCAGAAACCGATAGTAAGTTCTGTTTCCCTTCACCTTGTTGTGGCTTAGTTTGCTTCACAGGCTAACATTAAATGCACCACACTTGTGTTCCTAGTTTGAAATCGCCTTCCAAGTCTTCTTAAATTCTTGGCAAAGGACTGGATTGAAAGTTTCTTCAGATACGGCTATAAATATGGCCGATTTGGTCCAGATTTTCCACCATGAAGATGATTAAGTCCGGGAGAATTGAGCACAGTAGAGATGTGATCCCAATGAGTTTTGTTCAAGAAATATGTGCGTGCATGAGAGATGTGAATCCAGGAGAGTTGAGCCTAATAAAGGATATGAACCCAGGGCAACAACAAATTTGGAATTTGTGGCTATTAAGGATGTGAACCCAGAGCAAAAAGTCTTGGAAAATTAAGCCGAGGAAGGATGTAAGCGAGAGACACTCGAACCTAGAAGAGACATGTCTGGGAGAGCGGCTTTCTCAACCTCTGACATAAGGCCTAAGAAACCAGAAATCAGTGATGCCTATCAGTGATCTAGGTCTAGAAGGCAGGTCCAGAAACCGAGTCTCCATTCCCGCAAACATAACTGAGTGACTACAGCAGACAACTTAGCATTGGGTTGCTCAACCTAGCTGCTCGAGTTCTTTGCCTCAGGTGATCAAGCCATGTCGGCTTAATTGTCGGTTTGCACACTTGAATGTTTTATACGTGCCTACATCTTTTAAAAAAAGTTTTACTGGCGTATGTGACTTAGTATACTGGTAGAGGTACTGGGTGTGATGGTTCTGGCAATTTTATTGTGTGTGTGACAGTCCTGGTAGTGGTACTGTGTGAAACAGTCCCAGTAGTGGTAATGCGTATATGACAGCCCTGATAATGGCACTGGGTATGTTTCCTGGCATATTGGTAGTGGTGCAGCAGTTCTACAAGACGTCAGTGGGGGAGGAGTACGTGATTAAGGGCAACGCAGCCCTCATCAAGTGCAACATTCCGTCCTTCGTGGCCGACTTCGTCAAGGTCACAAGCTGGACCATCGACTCCGGGGAGACTTTCTACCCTAGCAACAATTATGGTAATGGTGGTGGTGAGCACAAGTAACGCTCACTTAATATATCTTCCCTCCCTCCTTCCCCTCCACGATCCTAGAGCTCTTTTCATCAGTCATTAATTCCTCGCTGATCTCTTCCAGCTCATAATAAAAGTGCCTTGGCTTTACTAATATTTTTCGTTCTTATTCTCATTATTTCTCTTTTTTTTCCAGATTTGGACTACTATGTGTATTGATAAATGAATTTTACTTTCTAACATTGTATGTTGCCATTAAGAAAACAAGATGCATTGTAGATTGTGCAAAATAGTCCTGATTAAAATCATGTTCACAGGTTCACTAATAGATAAATAATAATCTTAATATCGTTCCTGGAATATATAATGGATTTATAAATTCTACTTAGAAACAAAGTAAAATAGCATTTCTATCCTAAAAAAACACAATAGAAAGAAGCCAGATCAGAGCAGGACTGTGACGAGACGTTTTAGATCAGGCCATGTATGTTATCAAGATTAGTGCTTCTAACAGTCTGTGAGGGGCAAGTATCTGCAAAACAAAGCTAGATGTGAAATTCACATTAGAGATATTGTTTATAGGGGCCTATATAACAAAAGTGAATTTGTAAAGGTTCTAAGAGGGTGATGGCTATTGTCTCTAACAGATAAGAACATTGTGCCAGGATATCCAGAAGGCGAAGGGTCAAAATAAGATTCTGTAAATTAGAAATATACATGGATTTCTTCACTGGAGAAGTGGGTTTAGGAGAGAAGAGTTATTTTATTAAGAGTTATTGGTTTATTCATCAGGCAAACTCACATGACATAATAAGATGACCCGTTCACTGGTGGTGCCCGTGTGGTGGAAGTGCAGCGAAAAAGTATTGTCAAAGGAAACGTATAATCCGTTGGCCCTATAACGGGCCCCGTCAGTAAAGACCGCTGGCCTAATGACGCTGAACTTGGTGAGGTGATTGTGTTTAGCAAGAGTGGTGTACTTAAGAAATTAGGAGAGTATCCAGGACGAAAAACTGAATTACGGAGAGTTGAAATTTCAGAATCTAGAAATTGGACATGGAGTAGGAAACATGATTACTTTTCTTTACAGATTGTATACGTTACGAAAAGCAATGAATGTACATGCCACTGTGTTTAAGGTTGAAGTAGATGGTAAAGTAAAAGCCATGTTAACAGAAAATGGTATAAAACACTGACAAGTTGAGATAAAGACACACGTGCAACAGTTGGGTATCTTTATTTTTGAAACGCTTCGCCTACATAGTAGGCTTCTTCAGTCAAATACGGAAGCAGTAGGTGTAGTGGTGAGATGGTATAAGCCGGTTAGAAAGCAGAACATTGAGGGAAAGAGATGGCAATAACTCAGTAAGCATAAAGGGTGCAAGTCTTGTCACTACCCCTCTCTTCATATATGAGGATAATTACCAATAGAGCCATAACTATCTTCAAAGGGAAACTTAACAGATTCCTTCAAACAATTTTGATCAATCGGGCTGTTTTACTTAAGTTGGACTGAGCACAGTGAGCGGCAACAGCCTGATGGACTAGGCCACTAACCAGGCGGCCTGGCCTGAGACCAGTCCATCAACAGGTAAACAGCAGATACAATGATTTTTCTCTACATTGTTGCCTTCATGTTTTTTGTTGCCATTTTGCTCTTGCTTCTATCATGCAATTGTGTACTTTTGAAATCTGAATTGTTAGGATATTTTTCGTGGCAACATGTTGTCTTAGGAGCATAGCTTATCACTGTGTAGGCCTCGGATTATATTTTGTTGGTTGTTACTTTTCAGGTCTGGGTTGTTGGAAAGGGAAAGAGCTGTTTTTCCACTTTTCCCAATTATTTTTCTGCGCATTTTGTGAGGTATAACACGGTCACACTTTCATGTTACTTAGGCATTTTTTCTCAAATATACGTTAAGAACCATGTCATAATGGTCCAGCTTTATTGAAGGCAAGAACATCTTGCTCTTAACCTATTTTTTCCCCTGTTGAGTGTTTTTATTTCATTTATCAGTCTTTCATCTTGGTCCTCTTTCCAAGATTTTGTAAATTTTTGGCTTCATTTCTATCAGTCTATAGCTTATCCCCTACCCCCATCAAGGAAGGCTCCTTGACACCAGTGACTGGCTCTTTATTTTAGGATTCGGACCTGACCTACAAGCTCTACAATCTACACAATAGAGCGAAAAACTAATGTAAAGGACTTGGAAGTGTTAATGTCCGATGATCTCGCCTTCACTTTCACATCTGCAAGGAAAATGATAGGATGAATTATGACAACTTTGAAAACAAGGAATGCCATGATAATGATGATCCGCTTTAAGTCATTGTTTTCTCTAGGCTGGAATACTGCTGTACACTAACTGCCCCATTCAAGGCAAGTGAAATTGCATATCTAAGAGCTGTGACGTTAGCACACCTGAGTGGCAGTGTTTCTAATACCTTCTGGCAGAGTCTATAACTCCGGATGACAGGAGATTTGGCAGACAATGCAAAATACCTCTTCTAAAATGCAGGGATGCAACGAGTACACTAAGAGAGAACTCAATGAGTGTCAGAGGTCCCCGACTCTTCAGCGCCCTTCCTCCATGCATGCGGGGAATTACCAGCAAACCTCTGGCAGTCTTTAAGAGGGAACTGGACGAATTCTTCAAATCATTGCCTGACCATCTGGTCTGTGGTTCGTATGTTGGACTGCGTATGACCAACAGTAACAGCCTGGTTGATCATGCCTTGATCAGCCAAGCCTGACATGGGATCGGGCCGCTGGGGCGTTGTCCCCCGGAAACATCCTTCATGTATCACCATCACATAATAGGAGTAACTAATCTGATATACTACCTTCATGCGATAAGAGTAGTGTGTGCGTCAATCAGTGAGAATAATATATTAATGATATCACTCACACTAAGTGGGAATAATAGGTTAACCACCAGGCAACGACCATAACGTGCACAGACACAATCATAACATATATGAACGCATCCATTACAGATAGTCATTGGCACCATTTCCATTTTATAGTCACCAGCTTCACATTGTGCTGTAACATTCATCAAAAATAGGACCATACACCTAGGGTGTTGGTACTAGTCTGTTATTGAGTGTGGGGTCGTCACACCGTGGGTATCGAACACTGCCGGGGGGGGGGAGGTTCATCGGTCAGTGGATGTGTCATTAAGATTAGTCTTCTTTAGTGGTGCATCAGGAGTATCAGACGGACGTGGTGCCTGAGTACGTGATCCTGGGCAACTCTGCCATCCTGAAGTGTAACATCCCATCCTTTGTGGCGGACTTCGTCAGCGTTCAGGCCTGGCTCACCGATAAAGGCCAGATTTATTACCCTTCAGACAATTATGGTAAATGATGTCACTTATTAGAAATAGAAGACAATTTCTCTTTTCTTACAGTTGAAATAATGTTCTCCTTGGTATTTCAGGAATAATGTCATTCTTTCGTTTTTCAGGGACCTTTTATTCAGTTTGCTGTCTGTAAGCTTTCATTTATCCAGCATGGTTATAAGAAATCCTTTTATCACTGCAGTTTATAGCTCAGTTTGTTGACTTTACCAAATTAAGCGGCCTTTACGTATGTTTTACCTACGACCAATTTCGAGGGCTCTTCTAGCCCCGCAACCCTGCCTGAGATCAAACTTCACTGTTGACCACCTGGTCAGCCAGCCAGACTGTCCTAGTGACTGGCAGGCCAACTTAACCTTCATAAGCTGACCCGGAATTTGAAGATGGAAGCTGTTCATTTCTTTTTCACATACTTAATTCCATTTTATTGCATTGAAAATACTAAGATTTTACAGTGTGTGACATCTGTATGTTTCAGGAAATTGTTATAAGGTAATTTATTTCATGGAGAGCTCTGGGTTACAGCTGCCTGTTGCACTGCTAAACATTGCTCTTTCTTTTAATGATAGCTTCTTGTAGAAACCGTGGTTTTGTACCTTTGCAAAAGTGATCAGCTCATTGGAATACTAAGGGGCGTTTATCTCTTCGCTGAGTTTTTGGAAACCGGATCACTTCCTAAGTAGATGGCTGAGCGTATTAGGGTTGAGGACGGCAGGAAAAGGGAAACGAGGGAGAAAGGAGCGTCATCTGTTGAATTCGTGGTTACCTTGTGATGGATAGTTGGCCTTTGATCGAGGTAGCTGATGAGTGTCTCGTTCCCCTACAGTGGTCCCTCAGGCGTATCTCATAGATGTAAGCCTGGAGAACGTGATTCGGGGTAACTCAGCTATCCTCAAGTGCAACATCCCGTCCTTCGTAGCAGACTTCGTCAGTGTGCAGGCCTGGGTCACCGACAAGGGCGATGCTTACTACCCAACCCAAAATTACGGTAATGTTTGGGCCTTCCAGGGAGGCACGAGTTTCATTGCGGCGGCGGAATAAATAGCATAAGACGGGACTTAATTTTTACTCTAAAACTTTATCCTGCAGCATTTCTCTCCTTTTCTTTCTCCTCCTCTTACTCTGTGTGGTTGGGGGGGGGGGGGCGAGAAGATTCTTGGATCCCACACACCCACTCTAAACACAAGTTAGGCAGCTGCTGCAGCCCCGCTGCCACACACTTGTCTGTAGCCTGTCATTTATTACCATGTTTTACATTGAATAATGGTACTCTCTTCTTACAGAAGTATTGATCTCTTTATTTAAAGAATACTTTCTCAGTTTCAGGAATATTTACCATATTCTTCCTGGAGGATAATGCTATATAAATATATTTTTATTTTCCCGATGTTTGTATGCGATATATATTTAATCAACATTTTTACTCTCAGGAATCTTGATAATTAATATACCATATAAGTTTATGTTTCAGCTTACTTTCTTTAATTTGCTTAGGCTAGACTACATGAAAAAATCACGAATTGAAGCTTAACCATTTAAAAATGCACGTAGAGCGTTCTCTGAAAGTTTGGACGAAAAATGCATGTGCGTTTTTTTATATAAACAACTTTTCATCCTGCATACCAAGCTATTTACTCACTGATTTGTAATTGCCGGTATGCGTTTCCATGAGTCAAGTTATGACTCGAGGCCCTTAAGCCGCCTCTTAAGCCGCATTGATTGCCATTACTTGTTTATGGCCTCTTGAGCCGTATTTTACCCACTCTTAAATATCTGTAAGGAGTTTGCCTGTGGCACAAAACCACGTGTCTAGTGGGGTGCTAGGCTATGTTTAGGGTACCAAACCATGTGTCTAAGGCACCAAGCCATACGTCAGGTACTAAGAAATGTTTTTGAGGGGGCACCATGCCCTGGGTCCACCCCTAACATTGTGCCGAGTCAGGAACAAAGACAAAGTTGCTCGTTCATATTGCACAACTCAGACATTAACAGAAATCCTAAATGGGCAACCACACTGCATATAGAGGAACGACTTTAGTGACAAATGTATTAAGGAACGGGAGGGTGAAACAAATACCCCTGAATAGTGATTCAGACAGCCCACCAACACAAAACTTAGATGTTCAAGACAAGTGCATATAGATTGCATAAGCCCAACTGTAGACAAAGGGAGCGGGTGGTCCTGGGTCACACCTGACAGTTATAACGCGGGTTCAGAAAAGTAAAAATGCATATCAGCCGAAACTTTGACCGGCACAAACTCAGTGAATTGAAGGCCATATTGATTAAGGGAATCGGAGAACAACAGTTATGGAAGCGCATATAAACATAAACGCAGTATGTGAATGACTCGCGAAATCGTAATGAGACGATTGCAAACAAATCATGGTACGGGTGGGGCTTGAACCCACAGCAAGCGAGTCATAAAATTCCAGGCCAGCGTGTAAGTCACTGGGCCAGCTGGCTACAATAAGATTCATCCAACTAGGTATATTTATACACCATAGGTAGGTTAGCATGGGTCCCACTGTAACCACAAATGCAAGTTTTACGACTCACTTGCCGCAGGCTCAAGCCCCACCCGTACCGTGGTTTGGCAGTATGTGAATGTTACCTGAAGGTTTCACGAGTAGCTGCCTCTGTGGCCCGGTCTTAGACCAGGCCTTCTGGTTGATGGCCTAGTCAATCAGGCTGTTGATGCTAACCGCACGCATTTCAACGTAGGCGCCACAGCCCGTCTGATTAGGAACTAACTTAAGTAACATATCAAGTTCTGTTGGTAATTCCTCTAATGTATGAAAGAAGGGTGCTAAAAATTTGTTGGCCCCCTTTACACTTGAACTGTCTCTTCTTAGTGTGTTCATTGCACCAGTTTTTCATTGGAAATATTTTGTACCAGCTGCCGACTCTTGCTCATATAGGGAATATTTGAGGTGTGCAGATTTCGGACAATTTCCTCCACAATATTTTAGGTGTTAATTATGATCTATCTCCTTCACTAACGTTCCAGAGACTTCAGACATTCTCAATAATTTGTGCTTAACAGAATTTATACAGGCAGTGAATGTTATATGTACATTATTCAGTTTTGTTTTGCCTGCCTTATAAGCGGCTTTTAAGTGTGCAATAATAGTACAGATTATCATCATTGGCTTGGCATCTCACGTGTTCAAGGTTCTAATTATCCAGACTATCAATTTCCTTGCGTTTTTAATAGTAACATTGAAGTGATTCTTGAACGTTAGTTCTCCAGACATTATCACTACGAAGTCTCCATCATTCATTTTCCGCTCTATTTCGTGGCTTGACTTTATTTTATACAGCATTAAAGTTTATATTTTTTTCTGTACTGGTGTACGAAATCTGTTATGGTTGAACATCGTCTTGTTTTCTGTGGCCACTGGAAGACCTGGTTAATATGAACTCGGAGACTGGCTGTCCTCAGTGGATGCTACTCGCACGAATTCTAGCATTCTGTGCTAAGGATGATTTTGTGTTATGACTTACGTCTGTTTACGAGCGGAATGAGAAAGAGAATTGAGGGTTGTACTGTGCGCTTGGGAACATTGTTTTCCACTCTGGCAGCGTCTAATTTTACTTTCTTGACTGTTACTTTTTACATCCGATTTATTAGAAAATTAAAAGTCTGCCTGCGCACTTTTCCCGTTATTCCTTTTGCAAACCTTTTTTCGTGTTTGTACACAGTGATTATAGTTGTCAAAAGCTTTTGCAAAGTGTGTTTACTACATTTTTATTTAGTCTGCCAATGCATCCAAGACCATGTATATAATGGTCCAGCAAATGCGAAGGACAGGAGCGACCTGCTCTAAATCATGTTGCCCTAGCAACAGGGGCTTCTTCAATTCAGTACATAGATGCATTAGTAGACGGGGTATATAATCAGTCCCTCAGCCTTGCGGAACTAAACACAGAAGACAGCCTAGAAGTCGATGTTCAGTAACATAGTCGTGAAGAATCTCAAGCGTAGGCCAGTAAAATATATTCTTACATATTGGAATTAGGAGCGGTGCAGCAGCATTCATCACAAGTGGGTGGGACCCAACTAGTGGAAGTATGTCATGCCAAAGATACGGGCTAGCGGTTAACAAATAGGTTGTGAGAGACATTCTCTGCACCAAGATTCAGTGGTGTTGCTGTGTCAGACAAGTATCGTATTGACGGTGTTCAATACCGACAAGTTAATGAATAAGACACAGTCCTTGGAATCTTTATTGCTGAAACGTTCGCCTGCTCAACAGGCCTCTTCAGTTGAATACAGGCAAATACAACACTAGAGATAGTACAAGTTTTGAAATGAAGTAGGTAGTAACTCAAGCTTCGTAACTTTCAGCAATAAATATACCAAAGGGTTGTGTGTCTTACTCACCATATACATCAGTAGCCATCCAGACCAACATTTGCATCAGTCACCATTCTGGCCAACATTTGCAGTGGTCAGTTACCATCCTGGCCAACATTTGCAATGGTCGGTTACCATCCTGGCCAACATTTGCAATGGTCGGTTACCATCCTGGCCAAAATTTGCAATGGTCGGTTACCATCCTAGCCAATTTTTCAGTGGTGCATCAAGATTATATGACCGACGTGAGTTTGGAATACGTGATCCTGGGTAATTGTGCCATCCTCAAGTGCAATATTCCGTCCTTCGTGGCCGACTTCGTCAGTGTGCAGGCCTGGCTCACCGATAAAGGTCAAACTTATTACCCCTCGGGCAATTATGGTAAATGTGCTCAGTGTTTGTGCAAAGATAACTAATCATTTTTTCTCTGCAGGTGTATTGTAATACCTTGTGCATTTTTTTTCAAACGAATCCTTTCATAATTTTTTTTTCTTTACAGATAAAAATCTTTCATTGTCTTGGTTTATACTGGTATTGTTTGTGTCACTTATAGTTCTGCTCATTGAAATAACCCTATACAAGAGCGGGATGCCCGACATGTGATGGAAAATTCCTTAATGATTAATATGGGTGCATTAAGTAGAAAACTCAATAAGTAGGGAATCCAAGCTTATTAACACCATTTTTTCAGATATAAAGGACAACGCCAACAGACCCCCTAACTAGTCTTCAGGAAGAAACTTGATGTAGTAGAATAACACTTGGTGCAGAAAATAGTTTGCACCAAGTGCCTTCCATCCTTTTTCGCAATACCTGCCATCCAACAGTGAACTTGATAAACTCCTTCAAACAATCCCTAGTTAACTGGACTGTGATTCCTGCTTTAGACTGTTCGCCGCAAACAAAATAGTTTGATTGACCATCCTATCAGAAAGTTGGCTTGGTTTTAGACCAGGCCGTTTGGGGCGATGATTCCGGGTGTCGAACACATCAAATAATTGTAGTTCAGACCTGCATACACAAACTATCATTTAGAGAACACCACAGGGACCAAACAATGGGGATATGGGACTCGATCTCTGAAAAATTAAAAAGAAAAAAAAAACATGCTGGTATCTAGTAGGACTGGTGGAAATGATTTTGACTGGCGAATGGGGCATGTAGACATATTGGGAGTCTGTAATCATAAAAAGGTTAAGTACCCCTGAGTCTTAGGCTCACTCGTTTAGAATATTGTTCAGTGTTGACGGCTATATTCAAGGCAGAAGAGATATCAGAGCTGGAGAAAAGTACATGTATAGTTTACTGTTGAAGTCCACCCATCCCCTTCCCCCTCTTTCTTTCTGTTGTCTCGCTTCTGTTACCTTGTCGTGGAACTTTTAGCAAGTTTGCGAGACAGGATTTACCAGCTCTAAAATCATACTGGTTGTTATTTAGGAACTTGCTCTTTACAAGTGCTCCACCATTTAACGTTTTCATAATCTTGCACACTGCGCATGTCTATGACACTGGCATGTAGTTCTGTGCTACCTGTCGGTTCATTTTCTTAAATATTAGGACATCTAGTGTCTTCCAAACCTCTTGCCGTTACCCTGTATCGTTTGACTTCTTAAAGATTATGGTTAGTG